AACCGACCTTCGAATCTCTTCACCAAACACTTCTACTCGAAATGGAAGTAATCCCGACAAACGTCAGCTTAGTCCGTTTTTTCTGAAATGGAATGAAGATGTTTCGAGTAGCATCGAAGAACTGCAGATCAACAGCAATCATCTGTCACCTACTGGCAGAATCAACCTGGGGGGCTTTTATAGAATAGATCCCGAATCTCATGTGTTTCTGCTTGGTTTTATTGATGAGTCTACAAAGCAATACCTAATTGTGCACAGAAGTCTATCGGGCTTTGCTTAATAGTTTAGTGGTATTGTGATATACCAAGAGCGGTGAGTGAAAATGCTGAAAAATAGTAAACCCAAAAGACTTATGCAAATCGGCGACGGGAGCAGCGAATTAGGCGTTTTGTTGAGGCCCCAGGAGGAGGCACAGAGAAGACGAGAGGTGGAGGTAATGACGGTCGAGGGCCCAAGGTGCTCTCGCCGTAGAGTCCTTCTTGCCTAAAAACAATCATCAACATCTTTTACTTAGAATGGATTAAATACCTCCATTTTTCGATTCTGGAAACTTTGTCTTGGTGAGATTGATTTATATACTTTTGTACAATATCAAATAAAATTTTGAGACTGTTTCTTCAAACTTTGAGTTACAGGCTTACAGGGCGTACATGAACATATTTTTCGCTTGGCATTTGGGAGGGTTAGTTCTGTCGACAAAGTAGCAAAGTCAGGTTACATAAATCCACACACTCGACTCACTCGATGCGTGGGCACCTTGCTGGCTCTTTGACAGCTCATCTCGATCTTCACTTTCACGTCTGGCCGCCAGTAGCACTTGGTCCGTGGAACCAAATGGACGACCTACCTTGACCTCTATCGGGTTCGAGTCTCGTTGATCTCTGTTTGGTCCACCTCTGACGGCATCCTCTACGGCTCCATCGACAAGCTCATTGTCACTTTCGAAGTGGGCCGAAGCAATTCTCGGTGGTCGTCTAGCGATTGGACTTGTGGAAGAACGGACCGGAGATTCGACGCTCTTTTGGCGAACTTCGCGATAGAGCATCTAAGTACCAGGTGGCACAGGAACAGGGTTTGCGAAATAGTGGAAAACAGGCGTCACAACAAAGCATTTTATGATGGGTTATTCAAGAATTTGAGTGGTATAACAGAAACATGCCTCAGAAGCTTTGGAGAAGGTAAAATTTTCCTTATCGTAAATGAAAGGATT